TGGCTCTTAGGCTCTATAGGAATTAACACAAAAAATATACGTATCAGCATAAATATACTAAATATACTCGCAATATTAAGCCATAATTAAATAATGCATTTTTTATTTCGCCATTCCGCCCGCAGCAACACTGGTCTCGCAGAGCCACCAAAATGGAGGCGCCCGTAAACGTAAACATTTGAAACTGGAACATTTGGCGGTACTCCCTCCAGTTTTCAAAGGTTACGATCACGAATATCATGTACTGATCGATGACGAATCAGAATAAGGGGCAAAGTACAAACTATATGTACATACATATACATATGTACATATATATTTTTGTTCTTTTTTTTTTCTTATTGTCTACCCAAGCAAAGGGGACATAGCCGAATAGCTGCTGATTTCTACATCTGCATGTACATATGTATGTACATACATATGTACTTCATATTGGACTGGGCTTTAAGGAATCAGTCGGTTAATGTTGTTTGAAAGCAAATGGACAGACAGACATTCAGATAATTTGAAGGATTGGAACGTGGATTTGGTTGGCAATAATTTGAGTATGCGTTTCAATTTATGATTAAGCACGCTGTTTAACATATGTAACATATGTATGTATGTATATATACTATGTATGGGGTATGTAAAAATACATGTAAATCTGTTTGGTGCATATCGCGAGAATGAAAATTCTGTGCAGCTTCGCTGCTCTTCGTACAAACTGTATATGCATGCATACATATGTACATATGTATGTATGTAGATTTCGGCAGGCAAACGAAACGTTGCGTTATTCTGTTCTGTTGCGCACGTCTCACCATATTTTGGAAAATGGAAATTCGATCGCCTTTCACTCAGTCAGCATAAATGTTGTTAATGGAACAAACGAAAATCCATGTATTGCATGTTTATTTTTAGTCATTCGCAGTCACCGGCTGTATGTACATACATACACATAGTTTTTATATGTATCTATTTCGAGTGTATGTACATATATAATATATGTATATATATAAATGGGCAAGTGTTCACCACACACACACACACACACACACACACACACAAGAAAATATACATAAGAATGCAGGAACAGAAGAACTATTCGAATTGTTTAAATGATGATACATTCGACGACACGCCAGTCTAATTTTGTATGGCAATTGGATTGGATGCTTGGGTTTGGTTTGCTTTGGTTTTAGTTTATATTTTTCAGTCTCTGTGGCTTCTTTTTTTTTTATTTTTATTTTTCTTCACATTTTGAATTGGATTTTTTCCTTTGGTCTATTTTTAAGATCGACAACACACCGTTACACAATGCTACCAACAGACACTACTCTAAACTTATCATACATATGTACATGTATGTATATGTATGAAGATATATGTATATAATTGGAATTAAGAATACACACACACACACATGTAAGCAAGGATGTACATGTGTGTACGTATATGTATATATGTATGTATATGTGTGTATATACGGGTTTCGGTATGCACTGGCCAACACACTAACAGGTCAGACGACCTGTGATCTTTTTTCCGTTTAATTTTCAGGTAACCTCAAGCTCGCGTCTCCAATCAATCAGCAGTCATATTTTTACTGTATATTCACTTATGTATTATTTTTATACACTATTCAGATATCCATATCCATATCCATTCGCTGTATACATGCATACATATGTATGTACATACATACTACATATGTAGGTATGCATGTGTATTTTTGAAATTTTTGAAATGAGCAATCGTCCTTTAAATAACGCAACAACGCAACCAAGTTTTACCGAAAACACGCGCACTATGTATATTTAAATATTAAATACATATTTATGTATGTATGTACATATGTACATATCTATGTATGCATGGGCTGGCTGTTATGCTACCGAACATAACAGACAGACACAGGCTTCTCGTTCGGTTGAAGGGACCAAAAAACTAATGGCTACGAACCCACACTACACACATACATATGTACATATGATATGTATTGCATGCACATGCACACAGTACATACGGTACGGTACATACAGTATCAATGCAAGCATACAAATCAAATAAAGGTTTTTATAGCAGGGTACTACTATTCGATGTATCGATGTATCGTAGGTATGTAGGTATGTAGGTATGTACGTACAACTAGACTACAGATAACACAGGGCGAGCACAGCACGAATTTATTCCTTCTGAGGAAACGAAGCGAACTCCACGGGCGTTAGTCTATTACTATCTGCTCCGAATAATTTGTGCTCTTGATCTGCATCGGACATGTACGCCGGATCCGCCAGCCAGCAGTGGCAGTGGCAGTGGGTGCAGAGCGCAGGCGCCAATAGCTGTGGCCAAAGACTCGACTCGTAAGTATGAAGGCATTCCCCTCGGAAATGAATGGGGTATTCTTGCCATAGCGCTGAAGGGGTATCATCTTCGAGTCCATAAATTGGATGTGCATATGCATACGAGTACTAGTACTTGACCAGGAGCTCAGTACATTCCAACTGGCGAATTTCAGGGGATTTTCACTGTGCTGCAGAACCAGAACAGGAATGGAACAGGAACAGGCAGCAGTACGAAATGGTAAATCAAAAAATCAAATATTCGAGGGTGTTTACAGGCCGATACGCAAGGGGCTTTGCTTTGCTTTCTTGTTTCATTTATTTCATATTGTTTGAAGAGTTCTCCTTGTGGAATTTGTTCGGCTTTCAACCAGCAGAAAATAGAAAATAAAATCTATTTCATGTACATATGTGTTTGTATGTGTATGTGTATGTGTATGTAATGTGCATGCGCATGTCTGAGCATCTCTCAGTGTGTTTGATAGTATTCGTAATTATCATGTACGAAATGGCACAGCACACATACCCACATGCCCACATACCGCCACATACCCAACCCATTGGGTGGGTCATACACATGTCACAAGTACTTACCGCTCGATACAACTAAATCATCGTCGAATGGATTTGGATTTAGAAACAAATACTAGAAGCCGAATAATTATAGAAATACTTTTTCATATTTATGACATTAAAATGAGCTATCTTTAGACGACTATTTTGAGCGTCTGTGAATACCATCCTCTCCCAAGGCATACACCAGCAAGCAAAGTACATCACAGCAATTACGTTAGCTTTCCCCAAATGATTTGGTGAGTAATTAGCTTTAGTATTTCATTTAAACACGCTATGTATATGTGAACGTAAGACTTATATCCTTGTCTGTACTGTATCCCAGTCTGTACTATGCGCCTATCTGTCTGACATATCCTCTCCACAGGAGTACTGCTAGTCGCCCCACAGCTACTTCATGCTTTAATTAATTTGCACGCAGGGCACAGTAGGCCAAGTCGTAGCCGCAACCCTCTGGCCTCTGATCAGTGATCACCGAAATCCAACTAAACTGTCCTTGTCGGAAAGGATGTCCGGTTCGCTCGTCCCAAAGAAGAGGCTAGTGACAGATGGGGGAGGGGACACTTTGATTCCTGGCACCGGGATCGAATTTGAAATTCCCATCCAATGTACCCCTCTACTCCGTACACTCAGATCTCCGCGAGTATTGCCGCATACACATACATGATTCCTCTTTTTAAAGTTATTTATAATTTTGATGGACCGTGAGTACGATTGAAGCGCACTCTCCGCCGTTCGCCGTTCGCCGTTCGCCGTCCGCCGTCCGCCGTGCAATCGATGGTGAGGCAAGGGTAAAAGAGAGCACGAAACAAATTATATTTGAAAATATTTACCCTGCACACTCAATGCTCAATGACGTTCTCTTAGCAACCACTTTGAAGTATTGTTATTGAGCAAGAGCCTTTTCAATTGCCTAAACGGCTCGCCCCAATGGGAAAAATTCCCTTCGCTACACAGCTCACAGAAAGAAACTTCATTAAAATGTTTGCCAAACTTGACTTAAGCAAGGGCTCTTATGCTAAACAAATGAACTTAGATTGGATGCAGTAATTGCGCAACTGAAAAGTCAATATTCGGCCAGCGGAAGAATTTTCTCGCACTTCTGAGGGGCTCCGGCCATAACAAAAATATATTAAATAAATATTTGGAAATCATTGCATACATATGTATGTATAACGGCAAAACAGAGCTTATTAAAACAGTAGGGGGAATGGGAGAATGGGAGAACGGGAGAGTTTCAATAATGGCAACTGTTGTCAATCAATTATGGAAAAAAGGTCTGATATACATACGTAAAAGGATCAAGTGTTCAGAGAACATTTCAACCATAGAATACGGTACCTGTGGCATACATACTAGTATATATATTACATATTAAACATATTATAAAGTTTTATAGACATCAGCTATGTTATCTAATATTTCATAATATGCAAACATTAAATTACATATGTATTTCAACTTTCTATGGAAACCATTCACTTATTGAAATTAAGTCGCGATGGAAGTCGACCCAGGACACAGCTTGGACACGTACATATATGTATGTACATATGCACCTAAACATAGACGTAATCCCAAGATTTAGTTAAATTAAAAAGTACATATATTGATTTCTTTACTCCGTCTACCCTCATTTCACATAATATAAATATTAGCAATTACATCTACTATATCTACTCTATTATATCCCGTTCTCTCAGTCAGGGGCGCCACTGCAAGAGCATAAAACAAACGCATACAAATAGAAATATAAATTGAAATAGAAATATAAATATAAATAGAAACAGAAATATAAATATAAATATAGAGAGCGTGGCAGAAGCGAGTCAGCCACGGGAAATTGTTTTCTTCATTGTTCGTTCATCTGGTCGATAGTCATCAGTCTCGTCTCTGAGCCACTAGTCGCCAAACGGGTCTTTGAGCAGCAGGAAAGCAAAGTGGTCAAAAGTTCACATTTTTACGAGTATTCTTAAAGCACTACACTACAAAATATGTTTGAGGTTAGCATGTTGGATTTTTGGACTGCTTGCTCCTTTGTATAAATATTAATTAATAATAAATGGCTTATTGGGTGAACAAGTAGTGAAAACAGAGTTGATATTCATTTGTCAAAATTAGATCATTTAATCACACCAATTATTCTACGCGTATAGGTTAGAATCCTTGGCCGGAACTATGTAATAAATACATTTTTCTACAACCTCCATAAATTTGTTAGAGATATGTAAATTCGATTTATTTTAGGGAGCCTTTAAAGTTAATCAAATAATCTATGTATTTGTGTTTGTCTCTTTCTAAATCGCCCTGCACGGGCGCACGGGTCTGGCTCCAGAGTCTAGAGCCTAGACCCAAGGTGAATAGAAACAAGAGGCAAAGAACTGTTGCTTTCCACTGGCTCCATGTGAATTGAGACCAGGTACTGGGTTGCCACCGCCAGAGGGCGGCACGTTGTTGGCAGCCGTCGCGTAGTTATAGCTCATGTGCGCGTACGAAGGAACAGCGCTCGAAATGGCATCAGTGGCAAATCCAGAACTGTGACTAGCAGTTCCCAAATGTTGCGGACTGCAGGGCGACTGCCGAGGTTCCATAATTTGATGAGAAGAAACGGCGATATTGGCGGTCGCGGACGAATTGCCGTCAGCTGCTCCACCAGACGGAAGCGGCGGTGGTGCCAAGCCATATGTGGAGAGTGCCTGTGCCTGTGCCTCGTATCCGGTTCCATTGTTGCTGGCTCCCACATTCGTCGAATGTACATTGCCAATACCAGGCCCCAGGCCCCCACTGCTTCCCCCGTCATTCGGAGCTAGGTGATGATGTGGGCCCGATATCGGCGGTGGGCGCAGAGTCATGTGGCACGGGTACAGCGAGGGGGGCGTGAGGTCGCGTTGCTGGGACAAGGGCGACGGAGGGGCCAAAGGTCCCACCGATGAATGACTAAAGCTTGGCATCGGCGTAATGGAACTGCAAGAGAAGATGGAAGTCAAAATGGAAGTTACCGAAGGCTCAAAACAGTAATATGACATGTAGGTTGGATAACTAAACTAGCCGGCTAGGCTCCCTGAAGGATATCACAGTCCATGCAGCTTGGATGATGCTGATCCATCGATCGCTGATCCATTTGTGGCAACAATGTCCTGATAACTCAGGTGTTACGTAACTCAGACTCAATAGATCTTGATCGGCCGTCTTTAAGCGAAGTAAGTCTCTTGGCAGCTCTTCGATGCATCAGTGGATCGTTCTCGCTGTTGATTCTCAGCACGAATATATTGTAAGCCTCGCCTCATCAGATTTGCCTGATGAGCTTTGCCTTATGCTAGTAGCTTACACAACTGACTGTCAAGAACAGCCTTAAATGTACCCTTACCCGTAACTATCTCCCATCGACAATGCTGGATGGTGCATATTCGAGTACATCGCACTCATGGAGCTGCTGAAGCTGCCACTGTTGAAATTCAGGCGTGGCGAAATGGCAGGAACAAGAGCATGCGAGTGAGTGTGCGGATGCGAATGCGAATGCGGATGCGAATGTGCATGGGCATGGGCATGGGCATGGGCAAGGTGATGATGGGAGCTATGGTGCCCAGGTGAGCAAGCGTCGCTGCCATCGTCTTGTGGTCGCCCACCAGCACTGTCGGAGTTGCCACCGGACCTCAGATGCAACGTTGGTGTGGGACTATCAGTGGGTTCAACACCACCCACGGCCGACGCCGACAACGAGCTGGGCGACGCTAGCCCGTTGATTGTGTCTGGATAAAGAAGATTGATTGTTGATCAATGTGGAACTCGATCTGCACCGCACTAGATACTTACTTCCTGAGGGACAGTTGCCCGCAAGCAACGAGGAGCAAGCCCCCAGACTATTGGGACTATCGGTTAAAGACGCATTGGCTGAAGTTGAAGACGAAGTTCCACTTGTTCCCGTCGAATTCGGCGTCCTTCGCTGATTTCGTAACTTCTCCTCGCGGCGCCACTTGGCGCGACGATTCGAAAACCAAACCTGAATTCTTGCCTCCGGCAAGCCAATCTTACCTGCCAATCGTTCCCTGGCAAATACATCCGGATAATGTGTGCGTTCAAACTCTGGGAAAGAACAAAAATAAATTAACTGTGTGAACTCAGCTGTTCTATATTCTATATATGTATAAGACCGACAATACAGCGAAATCAGTTTAATTATTATCATTATGCATGTACATATGTATTTATTAAACATGGCAAAGAAAATCCCACGCCCTGTAGTCGGCTTTTAGGTAATTTGATGGATAAATTGACCAATTGGTCGCTTACATTTAGAATTGGTAGAATTGTCAGAATTGGTAGAATTGGAACGTGCGCTTACCCTTTTCCAGGCTATCTATCTGCTCATTTGTGAAGGAGGTGCGGTTACGTTGCAGCTTCCGTTTGAGTATTAGGCGAGCCTGATCGTCCTCGCTGTTTCCTATATTGGAGGCGCCGCCATTGGAGTTTTCCCCTTCACCGGAACCCGTTTCGTCCGACTGATGTCCGTCAAGTTCTGCAGAAAGCCAGAAGTAAGTTTATTCAACGTGGATTCTCAGCTACAGTAGCATATCTTAAATTGCTACATTGCCATAGAACAGATTCAGTTGGCGACAAATCCCACCGAGTTTTAGTCGGTGGAGAAGAAATGTTCCGTCTTAAAGCAATCCATCGAACGCTAAGCCACCTGTGGCAAAAACAATGTCCCTCCTATCCTCATACCTTATCCACCTCACCGATACAAAAAAGCCCTGAAATTGTAATATTTTCACTTAGACTTTAATATTTATGCCATTGATTTTCATCCAAGATTGGTTGTATTAAAATGGAATAATTTTCACTTACATTTTGATATTAATATGAAAATATTTAAATTTAATATATTTTATTTGTAAGTTGAATATACATATGTCATATTTCAGTTGAATATATTTCATGTTTAAATTTAATCTGTTTCATATTTAAATTGAATATGTTTAATGTTTAAATCTAACATGTTACATACTTAATTTAAAAATATTTTTTGCTCAAATTTAGCATGTTTCATATTTATATTGAGTATATTTCATTTTTGAACTAATTGGTTATTATTTTGCCTACGCGGACTACAATCTCAAGTCCTCTTGGTGTGAATTGGTTTAAGTTTTCAACTAGAAATAATCGCAACAGGAGTAGAACTGCATTCGTTTTGATTATGCCCTTGCGCAAAGATAATTTAACTGTATATTCAAGGCGGCAGCAGCTTGAACCAGTTGGGAATTCGAGGGACATAAAAGAATAATATAAAAATATTAAAATAAATACAAAAAATATCTAATTTCATTTAATACGGAATGTTTCAAATAAAAGTTTTTTCTTTTGATTTTAGAAATAAAATTTTGAAATCAAGTCAAAATAATATTCAATTTAAATATGAAACATATTAAAGTACAAATTTGTTTTGTATTTAGATTAAATATGACCGTATTAAAAACGCATTTTTAATAAATTTATATTTGAATCAAAGTGAATTCTATTTCTCCTTGAAAAGACTGCCGACGCTGGTCGCAGCAATAATTCCCCATAACTGCATATAGCTTCGTATATGGCCTCGCCACAGGGCTCCCGATTGGCTCTGATCCAAAATCCCTGATTGATTGGAACTGCCTTTGACAACACCCTGCGTCACCCTGACCATCCAGGAAATGGGTTACGGGAAGTATAAAATTGGTGGAATGGACGCTGTTGGCATAATTAATTTAGTCATTCAAATTTCAATTTCAAATGGCTCCAATTCCAAATGAACTGGGAAAAGGTACCATTGGAACTGTACAGCCGGATGGCAAGAGCTTTGCTATGCCAAAAAGAATTGATACTAGATAGTACCTGAGTAGCCCTAGCTAAATGAAGGAAGAGTTATCGCATAATGCGAACTTACTTGTTCCTCATACCCACATGCTTACTCGAGCTATAAATATTAACCATTTTTGCTCTCTTATTGTATGGAATATCGACCAAAAACAAACAGAACAGAGATAAACAATTGAACGATACTCTGATACGGTACAAAGCAGTGGCTCTGCATCTCCGATTAGTTGCTGAAAAGGTAAACAATTCGATGTACCGACGGACCAACGACCCGACGAACCGACGCGACGGACAGGCATTCGTTGTGCACACTGGGCACAAAAAGCAGAAAGTTACGAGTACAATGCAATGTGGGGTGGTGGTGGGTTGGGACTGTGGCCGTGGCCTTCTTATTGCAGATGGGCATCGGAGTGTAAAGAAGCGATAAATGAGTATGCATACATACATACATACATATGTACATACATTCGAGTATCCGAGTATGTACATATTGCCATCCCGTCCTGCCATATTTTGTGACTACTATCCAACCATATTTCATTTCACTTTCCCAGTATATTTTTCAAATTGTTTCCAACTATAAATGTGAAGCGAGCGAAGTTTAAGTTTAAGCTGTGTATTTCCAGTCGTATGCGACGATATATGTACATAATGTGCGAATGGTTGAACCATTTGGTTGCGAAGGTGCCAGATAAAGACACAGAAATGAGTAGGAGCGATTGTGGCGATATTAGCTGAAGATCAGCTCCAGACTAATTAATCGCAGGCAAAGTTGCCCGTGCCCTAACGCAGGCGAGAGAACGAGAGAAAGCAATAGAGGGAGAGCGCGCTAGAACAGCTCCGACTGCTGCTAAGCCGAGCCGAGCCGAGCCGAGCCGAGTACGAGCGACAGGTAAAGGGAAAGAACGCGAGAGAGCAGCTAGATGCTATAGATGCTAAAGACGAAAGAGAGGCCGTCGCCCTGCGTAAGCATAGGCGGGTAACAACAAGTACAAGTATGTACTGTGCTGTGTACTGTGTACTGTGGGCAGTGCAATAATGAACATCACATGGGAGTTGCGTTAGGCGGCGCCACATACCACTGAGCTTGCCTTAGATCATGTTTGGGTCGCACTGCAAATAACATGGGTAGGCCGCAGCTAAATGTCTGTTAAATCTTGGCCCTACTATTTGAATATTAGTGCGTTAAGGTTAGGAAGTAAATGTACATGTATATATGTACATATGTACATACATATACATGTCTACATATGTGTATACAGTCTATGAATTCTGATATGATTCTGTAGGCGTCGCAAGAGTCTAGTCAAAATCCGAATACCCTTTGCCAGCGTACACAAACACGGACACAAATGCCGTGTGGAGCTGGTCTATTTCGAGCCGTGGTCGCATTAGTGGTCACATCAAAGAGGCCGCTAACATTTGTAGGTCTCTCGGCTTGTCACATGCTATGCGGCCAGTTCGATGCAAAAAGGTCTAAGGGTATATGTATGTATGTATTTGTGTGCAATTGGCGCTTAATGTTACTGGATGTGACAGTGCAAATAGATGCTGATAGCCTACAGACTTGCCGCTGGATAGGGTCGGGGTCAGGCCAGCCGAGGGCCAGGCCTGTTCTTGATCACTCCAGAGCACACGTCACTTGCCCATAAAGTTGCAATGTTCTGACAGGCAGCAACAGAGCAACAATGACAGACCAGACGACGGTAGATGTCGAGCAACACGGGATTCAAACACTGCGACGGCTACGACGGTGGAGATGAGAAGAGAAGGCAAAGGAAAGGAATGGAATGGAAAGGGAGCAAAGGGGATGGAGACCGAGACTCTGGTGTGGGAAGCGGATGAGTTTGAGTTTGAGTTGGAGTTGGAGGTGGAGTTGGAGGACAACGAAGTGACACTCAAACAGCTAAATACATTAAAGACAAAACCTGATAAGGCAAGAGCTCTAGTATGAGGACTTCAAATACGATTTTATAAATATGTATTTTCTGTTTTCTATTTATGCACCCCATCATCAGCAACAGCAACAGCATCACCTTAGCACCAACCAGCACAGCACAGCACAGCACCCCACCACCACCCCACCACCCATCACCGATCCCATCCCAATCACGACCCTGAACCCATCTCCAACCACAGCCACCCTCACGGTTTCCCGTTTAATGAAGTGTCATCGCCTGTAAAATGAGTCTGTAAATCGCATTAAAGCAAACTACACGGTTAAGGGTAAACCTGTCAAGCACGGCAGCGGCAACGTCAGCGGTTGCCCGATAGCTACGGATTATTCTTGCTCTGCAACTGGAGGGGGTTGGGCTGGGTTGGGGAGGAGCCGAAGGTGGAGTAGCTCACGATACAGTTACAGTTTTGACACACTCAATGTCTGCGGTTGGTCCTCGTCCACGTCCCAGTCCCCCCCGTCCCCCCCCCCGTCACCGTCGTCTGCATCAAGATTTTGTTTTGTTATCAAAACTGGACTCATTCTACTCGTACTCGTATTGGCAAAGTAGTTTGGAAATATTCTCGGTCAACGCACTCGTATAGTCAAAGTATAGGCAAAACCCGAACTATTCGTACTAGCGGGGAGCCTTCGGATAGGAATCTGAGGGCTTGGCTTAGCTTAGCAGTTCGCTTGTGTGGAGTTGGAGGTGGAGTTGTGCTACAGCCTGTGCAGGGACGAGACCAAACGATCCCAACTGATCCATAGATCTATACATATATCCCATTGACTCCCAAATATTTCTGGGGCACGTTGGTTTTGCTGTTGTAATAGTTGATGCGCTCAAAATATTCCTTTTAGAGTCTATTTCTTCGGAATCTTGCTGTGTTTCGTAAGAGAATATATACATATACATATATACATATACATACGGATATATGTATATGTACATACGAGTATATATATATGTATGTGTATACGCATATGTGTACTTGCAATAGGAATTTGTCTGACGTCGAATGGGACATTCGTAAGCATTGCAAGGGGTAGAAAAGTCAAAATGGGACGGATTATTTTTCTGGTGCTAAGGTCGACTTTGAGCCAATATTCGCTATCGAGATTTTTGCAAAAAACCAATGCATTCGCACGGGGAAAAAACAGATTTGGTTTTCCACACGTAACAAAATAATCAGTGACACAAATGTGAAAGTTTGGTTGCATTACTTTCTGCCTATTCTTAGGAGAAGACTCAGTGCAAGCAGTGCATGAAGGTAAGCAGTACAAGCAGTGCAAGCAGTGCATAACTGACAACCAACCTGACCTCACCAATGCATAATCAATAATACAATTAACAGGTTCTACGCGGAGGCTACGTCGAGTCCAAAATCCCCAGAGCAATCCCTGTTAAATTTAAAGTCAAAGTTAAAGGAACGATCGGTGCGTTCGTGGATAGGAGCCACCTGAAGATGGAATTCCTTTCTTGTTACACAACACACAACACAACACATCACATAAATAAATAAATAAATCTCAGCAAAAGATCATAGAAAATCACACAATAAAAAAATGGAAATGGAAATGGACAATTTACGATGGAATAAGCCTATTCTATTGAACCGATGAATATATGTATGGAGCCAGCTTGTTCTATCCTCTGGTCGCTGCACTGGTAGATGGTAGAGCGTGTTTCCACATGCGCTTGGACAGAAACAATTGTCTGTCACGTGTCTGCAGCATTTACGCACGACACGACACGGCTAAGACATTGTCAATTGTCAATTGTCGAGCTGTGGACTACTCGCACAGGCAATCACGGCGCGGAAGTAAAACAGGGGCTCGCACTCGCCCTCGCCCTCGTACTCGTACTCGTACTCGTATGAAGCATCGCATATCTGCGCAGGCAAATATGTAAATGTCTGCCCAGTGCAATCGGTCGTTATTTTAGCCCGTCCGTGCGCATATTCAGTTAAATTAAATTTTCCCGTTCTTTGTCAGCTTCGATGAAATGGTATATTCCATACAAGTACAAGTGTACACTGTACACAGAAGAAATCGTTTCCGACTCCGCCAACTATCCATGTATTCTACTCTGTAATCGCGTATTTCTTCATACATATGTATGTATGTGCATATGTATGTACACTGTACAGCTGTAAACAGTGGTTTTAATGAGCGCTTTCAAAACTACATAATATATAAAGTTTGGCGTGTAGTTCAACGTATTCGAAGGCAATGGAATTGCTATCCATTGCAGCCTTCAAACGAAACTATTTGAAAAGAAAAGGAATTTTCCGGGAATTAAGACGGCAACAAAAGAAGTTTTCCAAATTTGTAATTAAAATAGATTACTCTAGTTGTATTTAAAGGTTAGTATTTTGTTGTATGGCCATTGGCAGCAACCCAAGTGTCTCAGCGTCTCAGCGTCTCGGCATTGAAGTTCCCCCATTTTCGCATCGCTCGTGGGAGATGTTGCTCCACGAATAATGCATGACACCCCAATGAGCAATATTGTTCTTTGGTTTGGTTTCGTATTAGAGCTCGTATTTAACGGAGCTCATATCTGGGGACTAAGCGGCCCAATATATTACATTAAATGCACTGGCTCTGTTCTCGCACCACTTTCGAGCTTCCCAGGTGGCTGTTGGATGGTTGTGGATCATGGTCCTGGCCAGACACAAAACAACGGCATTTCGTATACCATAATATGTATGTTGACATAGCCATGTTGATCCACCATCTACATATGGGCCATATGTGCCACGCATTGGGCCAGCTCCACGGTGCGAAAAGCATGCCAATGCACAGTCATTCTGCACTCACTTTGCCCCTTGGCTTGCTCTCTGAAGTGACTTCAATTTGCTTCACCTTAAGATCGGCGTCTCTTTCTGCAGTACAAGTTTTGATCCTCTTGCTTTTCTCTTCCCTGAAGTACTCCCCAATACCCAAAACTGCTAGACATGTAAAGCTAATTAATATTACAGTAGAGGGCAAAATATGTTGCTCGGTGATCGTTTTTGGAAACAATGAAGAAATGTAGAAACGAAGAAACGAAGACTGTGGTACCGAATCACATCTTGATGAGTTACCTTCATGCTCCATTCACTTAATGTAAAAGCTCACCTTTTTTTAGAAGAATGTCGTCCGTGCTCATGGGGCAGTTGCTCAGGTGATTCCCGCCGCCGGATAAATTGGGCGGACTCAGGGGCTGAGATGTCGTCGGACCTGGGGCATATGCAGATGCAGCCACCGAAGTCATACCGGATCCGGATGAAGCTGGGATCGGTATTTCACTGCCGTTCAGAGGGGAGGTGTACCAGGATCCGGTTGAGTAATGGCGTGGAGGCCAGCTGGCCTGTTGCAGCTGCGACGCCTGCTGGTGCTGTTGGCCATGCAGCAGCTGGGGATGACTGGAATGGGAATGGGGATGGGGTCCAAAATGGTTCGGTGGGGATATGGCCAAGGCAGGATCCAGCGATCCAGCTGCATGCTGAGTATTGAGGAGTCGGAGCTTTTCATAAATGGACTCCTGCTCGCTGCCCTCGCCAGAGTTGCTCGCTCCTCCGCTTTCGGAAGAGTTCAGCGGCGTGGCTGTTTGCATCAGATCCCCTGCCGCGCTGAGCGTGGTTCTGGGGCCACTCTGGCCACTCTGGCCACTCGGGCCGCTGCCCCCACTACTGTTGACAGTAGAATTGGCGCTGGCGCTGGTGCTGGTGTTTGTACTTGAACTACTCGTCCCGGTATTTTGTTGCTCCTTTTGTGCCGCCAAGTTTCTCAATACTCGATTTATCGACGAAACCTGAAGTGATAAATAAATAAATCAATTAAATTATTTGCTTTGGCCTGGGAGTACTCACATATTGGGTAAAGCAAAGAGTAATTAAAAAACCCTAAAAAATATACATATATTGAAATGGCTTATATTACATACATATGTACATATGAACATGTGCATGTACATAATATACCGCTTATATGTATATCCGAACCGAGTACATACATGTGTGTGTACAAACATGCGAGCAAAAACCTTTTGGGTTAGAGTCAGATTACGACTCGAAGAACTCTAGGGAGTCAAAAGCAGCAGCAGCAGCAGAAGCAGCAGCAGCAGAAAAAGCTTTAACTTTACCTTTTTCAGTTGGCAGCAGCAGCAGCAGCAGCAGCAGCTGACGTTTGGCTGGGGGTTTGGGAATATTTTTTCGTCCTTATTATTTTAAGGCTGTGCCTGCGCTTGACAACGCTTTTCAAACGAATTCAAAAGGAAAGGAAAGGAAAGGAAAGGCAAAGTACGAAAGAAACGAAAGAACAAACGAGCAAACATATAAATGAGCGAGCGAGTGAGAAAGAACAACAGGGGAAAGTGCAGTTGAGTGGAAAAATTAGGCAGAATGTCCTTTCAGGGGGTACAGCGCTCGCATAAAAACTTATTTTTAAAATAAAATGAGCACCGTCCCCGAATCCGTTTGTACGGTACCAGTACATATACTATACATACATGTACATACATATGTACATATTCTACACCTATGTTTGTACATATGTATGTATGTAAATACATATGTATTTGGCGCTTTTTGATATACAGATCTGATCGTTCTGATGCAACCATAAACAGCCGGACTTAATGCCTTAAAGTAATCTCCAGCAGTCATTTCTTACGACAACAAGTGCAGTGCAGCACGGAAATGGAAAATTTAACGCTCGTCGGCTGTGAGTGGGGGTGGGGGTGGGGGTGGGGTTAGAGAAGTGGCAAGGACCTTTCAGCCGTTCCGTTCCGTTCCGTGTCCAAGCGAAACTGCTTGCGTTTTCACCCCTCGACGATTTTGCTATTCGGATCCGAACTCGTATTTGGCCAATCGGCCAAGCCAACCGTTTCTCGCCCCGATTCAGAACATTCAGAACAATCTGAACACCGAAAACCGAAACCCGAACACCGAACACAGAGCCACAGAGCCACAGAGGACGTGATTCAGCAACGTGATTCCGATTCCGATTCCGAATCAGATTCCCCCTCGCACTGGCGCGTGAATTTCAACGCTTAACGGTTTGTGGTGGCGGCGGGCCGTATTTATTTAATATTGTATTTTTTCGTACATTTTTCTAGCACTGATTTCCCTTTTTGTCGTTTAATGTGCATAAAAGATTTTCCCTTCCATTTGAATGAGCACATTTTCCACACAACTGTCAATGGGGAAAAGTACAAGGCAGGCAGGCAGGCAGGCGGGCAGGACATCAGGCCATCAGCATCAGCCTCGGCATCGGCATCGGCCATCGGCATCGCTGTCACAATTCATTTTGCCTTTCTTTCTTCTTTTTTTTGGCATACTTAATAAACAATAAAAAAAATACGAATGGAAAATGGTAATGCCAGAGCACAGCAAATGGCGTCGGAAATCGGAAACAAAGAGAAATCCAAGTGATACAAATTGTCATATGTATATGTACATAGGTATGTATGTATATAGTATGTACATAAAGCCTAACTAATTGAAGCCTAAATCTGAGCGCCTGAGTAGTGCAATGTTGGAGTGCTGGAGCTGTAGCGTCTACCCGCATGTATGTACATATGTACAGTTGTGTTCAATGAAATAGTAGTGCCGCACCTCACTACTTTCAAAACTCTTTTTGAGATAGTTCTAGTCTTTCAAATTGAACAAGTGATACCTTTACGGAAAGCCCGGAATGTAGGCATTGGATAACCGAAGAAACCCCGTTACATTTGCATTCCATCTTCTTGTTTTACATGACATAAGCCGAATACCCATAAAATATGCTGTTCAATGAAATAGTAGTGTTTTTTTAGAACATTGAAAAAAACAACGAATCTCAAATAAAAACATATATTTCATGTTCTTCATGTTTCTTGAGCTTTAATTTGTAGTTTTTTATCAATTTGGTTTTCATTGCGAACTTGCACCGGCCGGATATGGGTCATTAATCTCTTGCCAACGCTTCAATAGGATTTGAGCCAATAATCCATGAACCACTTGCTAAAACTTGGCTCTGGTTCACGGATTTGCAGTTGCAATAATGTATTTGGTATTCCCCCATAAGATTTCGATGAGATTAATATCCAGTTGGACAGTTGGCCATGGAAAAACGTCGGTCTTTTCCGATAAAAATCAATTCCTAGCGAGCTTTTCTGGGTATTTTAAGTCATTATCCTGTTAAAAGATCCTTTTAACATGAAGTTTTCAACTGTAATTTGAATTTAATGTATTCTAAAGTATGCCTACATACACAGTTTCGCTCAAAACCACACTATACTCAAACGCCAGGCCAGAAAGTACTAGCTTATATGAGCTGGGCCCCATAAGGCTCAGCCTTCCATGCCCAATGCTATTTTTTTCATGATTTTAAGTAGTAATTGAATTTCTGTGAATGCCAAACATATTCTTTTGAGTCTATCTTACCATATAATACAACTTTACTATCATCAGTCAAAAGTATTTTTGTCACTGTGACACAGGCCATTCCACATGCGTTTTTCCAAACTGAAGTCGTGCACCCATGTACTCTCAGACCCAAACGCGGAGCTTTCTGGGACTTCTTGCATTCAAACAATGTGTAATCAACCGTCTAAGAACCGTCACATCACTGACATAGCGATTTAAAATTTTTTCATAATTTTTGAGGATATTAAAGGCCTGGTCTTGCCTTCGACCATCGCCGACCATCCTCTAAAAAATAATTTTTTCGCATACAAAATCGATTTGCAGTCTACTTCTTTTAGTTAATTGGGTTAAATACAATAGTGAGAGTGCATACAACTTAGTTTTCAATTCCAATATACCTTCTGCCTTAAGTTTTTAGTCTAACTCTTAAGTATCCTCTTCTGGACCGAGCAATGATTTCTTTAACGCTTCAAAATCAAAAGTACCGCTATGTCCAAAACTTTCTTTCATCAAATTATTCGATTTTTGAATTGAGCTTGCGGATGGTGGCTTATTTAAATTAATTTGCTTTGTTTTTTCATTTTTAAAAATTAATTTAATCTAGCACTACTATTTCATTGAACAGAAGATATCATGGGTAGTTATCTAAAGTCATGAAAAACAAGAAGATGGAATGCAAATGTAACGGTGTTTCTTCGGTTATCCAATGCCTACATTCCAGGCTTTCCGTAAAGGTATCACTTGTTCAATTTGAAAGACTAGAACTATCTCAAAAAGAGTTTTGAAAGTAGTGAGGTGCGGCACTACTATTTCATTGAACACAATTGTACATATGTATGTACATATAGTGAGTATCAATTTAGTTAACTTACGCTTGGAATATTGTCGTTGGTGCAGACGTTCTCCTGCAGTAATCTATCCCGAATTTCCCAGGCGAAAATGCTCGGGCACTCGCGTTTGTATTGCGAAATTTTGCTAACGACTTCAGCCGTAGCAACCCGAGGCTTGGATCCCCCGATGGCGCGTGGTCGAATGCTTCCGGTCTCATAGTATCTGAAATAAAACAATCCGAATGCTTATTCCATAATCCATAATCCATAATATTCGATCTATTGGATCCAGCTGGAGCCGCCCTAAAACAAAATGTGGAAACCATGCAAGTCGAGCTATCTCCACGTTTTGTGGCGATAAATAGTATTGGATAGCTGGATTCTTAATTGTTAGCATTGGATGATGGTTGTGGAGTTAACGGGACGGGAAACGACTTAATAGACCAGCGCTACGGATATTCCATTGGGTTTAGAAATCTATACTATAAACGTTTTTTATCCACGATATTTAGTTGGTAATACGAAGAAAAATCAATCAAGTCAATCGAGTTTCGTATATCACCTACCTGCCTAAAATCTTGCTAACGCATCCATTAGAAACTTGTAGAATCCGAGAAATATCACATGGCCGAGCCCCGGAATGCGCAAGCTCAACAATTTTCTGGCGCGTTGAATCAGGCAATGGTCGTCCACCGACAAAAACTCCGCCCAGCTGGTTTACTCCACTGTGACCTGCAAAAGTAAAAGGAGAGGCTTACAAATGTACGTACACGTACGTTGGGGAACACTCGCGGGGCGGGGGAAATACATAACTCGACCAGCGGGTAAGGATCGCACTCCACTCCACTCCACGCAGCAGACCATCCCAGACCAGACCATGTGAGCCAGGTGTCTATTTGTACGAGTATACCGTGGAGTACCGTGCAAACGGGTAATATAATTTTTTGGAGCAGCTAGCCTATATTTTATCAGAACTTTTGCTGCCGTTTGCAACAGGATCGTTCGGTGGCAAAGGGACGATCCGATCCGATCGGTTGGGTAGTACCAATCAGGCCTCCATTCTTAGGCTGAGATGTGGCTCCAGGATTTCCCACATCACATAATAATATGTGCTCTAGCAGGAAAAGTACCTGGGATAGAACGTACCACTTTATCATATACGCATCATATATGCATATGCATATGCATCCATCCATGTCGGACTTTTGTAAAGCGATCTGGATTATGATCAATTCAATGTTTTCAGGCGGTGAAAGCAAACGAATCGTTTGTTCAGAGTTTGCAAGGAGACGCCAAAGTGGGAATTTCCTGATTTTCAGTTCACTCACAAATTTAGGAGCTAGTCGTAGAATTGCGCAATGCACAGCAGCTCGGTTCAAGGCATCGGTTCAAGGATGGGCAGGGCAGGGCCCGGGAGGGCATGGGAGGGCAAGAATGCACCGTCACTAATTCTGGGATGGTAGGAACGTAGTTCAAATTTAGTTCAACATTGCTCAGAATGCAAGCCTACTACAGTCCCCAATCCACAGTCTCATTGAGGGTCGAAAAACCAAACTCCGCCGGGAGGAAGCCGTTCTCCCCTTAAGTGACACGGATGCTGACCGGGACACGAAGATGTTCCAGATCCAGCTAATGAGAAACCAATTGACAGCTATCCAACTTCGCTTTGAGAAGTCGCCTAAGCTAATATTGCGAATTAAACATTTTGGAACTAAAGTTTCAGTCTAAACTTCACATTGGTATTTGATTTTATTGGAGAGTTAGTTGTTACATAAACATATGTACATGTACACATACATAAGTACATATATACAGTTGTGTTCAATGAAATAGTAGTGCCGCACCTCATCACTTTCAAAACTCTTTTTGAGACACTTGCAGCTATCCAAATTGAACAAATGATACCTTTTTAAATAGACTGGGCTGCTACCATTAGAAAACCGAAGAAATGTCAATTCATTTGAATTCCATTTTCTTGTTTAACATGACATAAGCCGAATACCCATGAAATTTGCTGTTCAATGAAATAGTAGTGTTTTTTTAGAACATTGAAAAAAACAACGAATCTCAAATAAAAACATATATTTCATGTTTTTCATGTTTCCTGAGCTTTAATATTTAGTTTTTAATCAATTTGGTTTTCATTTCGAACTTGCACCGGCCGGATATGGGTCATTAATCTCTTGCCAACGCTTCAATAGGATTTGAGCCAATAATCCATGAACCACTTGCTAAAACTTGGCTCTGGTTCACGGATTTGCAGTTGCAATAATGTATTTGGTATTCCCCCATAAGATTTCGATGAGATTAATATCCAGTTGGACAGTTGGCCATGGCAAAACGTCGATCTTTTCCGATAACAATTAATTCCTAGCGAGCTTTTATGGGCATTTTAAGTCATTATCCTGTTAAAAGATCCTGTTAACATGAATTTTTCAACTGTAATATGAATGTAGTGTATTCTAAAGTATACCTACATACAAAGTTTCGCTCAAAACCACACTATACTCAAACGCCAGGCCAGAAAGTACTAGCTCATATGAGCTGGGCCCCATAAGGCTCAGCCTAGCATGCCCAATGCTAATTTTTTCATGATTTTAGGTGGTAATCGGATTTCTGTGAATGCCAAACATATTCTTTTGAGTCTATCTTACCATATAATACAACTTTACTATCATCAGTCAAAAGTATTTTTGTCACTGTGACACAGGCCATTCCACATGCGTTTTTCCAAACTGAAGTCGTGCACCCATGTACTCTCAGACCCAAACGTGGAGCTTTCTGGGACTTCTTGCATTCAAATAATGTGTAATCAACCGTCTAAGAACCGTCACATCACTGACAGAGCGATTTAAAATTTTTTTCATAATTTTTGAGGATATTAAAGGCCTGGTCTTGCCTTCGACCATCGCCGACCATCCTCTAAAAAATAATTTTTTCGCATAGAAAATCGATTTTCAGTCTACTTCTTATAGTTAATTAATTAAACACAATAGTGAGAGTGCATACAACTTAGTTTTAAATCCCATTATACCTCCTGCCTTAAGTTTTTAGTCTAACTTTTAGGTCTCCTCTTCTGGACGGAGCAATGGTTTCTTCAACTCTTCAAAATCAAAAGTACCGCTATGTCCAAAACTTTCTTTCATCAAATTATTCGATATCTAAATTGAGCTTACGGGTGGTGACTTATTTAAATTAATTTGCTTTGTTTTTTCATTTTAAAAAATAAATTTAACCCAGCACTACTATTTCATTGAACAGCAGATATCATGGGTAGTTGTCTAAAGTCATAAATAACAAGAAGATAGAATGCAAATGTAATGGGGTTTCTTCAAGTTTCTAATGCTTACATTCCAGGCTTTCCGTAAAGGTATCACTTGTTCAATTTGAAAGACTAGAAATATCTCAAAAAGGGTTTTGAAAGTGATGAGGTGCGGCACTACTATTTCATTGAACACAACTGTATGTACATATATCGATCGGCAGGAGTTTCTTCTAATGGCTCCGCGACCTCCGAAGGGAACTTTTCTTCCCTTTCAGCCGATGGCTAGACGCGGATACGATGTGATGTGATGTCCGCTTGTGTCCGCTGCTTATGTACATATATGTATATGGATATGCGTAAAGTATGGGCCAGATAATATGGCAATGAGGCGGATAATTCGGTTTGGCACGCTTTAGAAGACGACAACGTACTCGGACGTCGCGTCGACCTGAATTCGGTCCACTTCGATACCGAAAGCACTTCACAAACTTTTTGTGCCGCTGTATCGGTTCTTAGCATCTCAATTTGTATTCGATGTCCTCGATTCTTAAGTTCTGACAATTCATTTTGAACGAGGACAACCCTTTGCGGAGACTTGAGCCAAGACAAGAATATGCATGCAGCAAAAAAACAAAAAAACAAAAAAAACAAAAAAACAAATAAGCTACAAGGCAACACAGCGACAAGGCAACAAGGCAACAAAGCAAAAATCAAAAGGCCAAAAAAGGTCCCACTCGGGGTTCAAGCCAAGCATAAGAATGGGTTTGAAACAAATTTCCGAGTACTGATTGATAGAAAATCCCCAAATCTGCGTATCAATTTACTACTTTATTGGTAAGGAAGGAATCGAGACCAGCCAAGCAGTAAATGCATGCACACTCGTAGCTGGTCGAGGCCGAGGCCGAGGCCGAGTCAGGACAGCAGGCCACGGCTACGGCTACGGCTACGGCTAACAACTGACGAGGGGCTAATCCAAGCCCAAGAGCCTTTCTCATTTCTTGTACCCACAGATACATACATACATACATACATACATACATGTGTACATGGCACATATATTTACTTTTGATAGATAGCCGTAAGCCCACCGACCGTATCGATCTTCAATCGAATGTCGATGTCTTCGGGAAACTCTTCATTCGGTTTAGTTGTTACAATCGCCCCCTCAAGCTCCCTTCCCCCCACCACACAGGCCCACTGTGAATTGGCTGTGGGTCATTTACTTAACCCAGTGGAGCAATGTACCCAACCGACTACCGGGTATCGACGACGACCCCATTTCGAAGATTAGAGTGGATTCGTGGGAAAATTGTAAGCGGCTTAAGTGCACACGGGGGATCGGCTTTATCGGCTTTATCGGCTGTCGGCTGTCACTTAAAAACGAAGAACTTAAGGTTAATTTTGGAGATCGAGTAGAACAATTTGTAAATATGTATGTGCAATGTGCAATGTGCAACGAGCAACGAGCAACGAGCATAAGTATGTACTATGCAAATTTGATCGAACAATTGGAAACCTCAGCTGACCCTCAGCCCTCAGCCCTCAGCCCTCAGCATCAGATCAGCCGTCCGAGTACGTTCGCTGGCATGTCATAAGTGTGTGAGGGAATACACATGCATACATACATAAATACATACATACACACACGTAGATGAATGTTAACAATGTGAATTACCAAAGTGACGAGCTACACAATAACCGAGAAAATCTTGCCAATGGGATTAACAATGTAATTGCAACACAAATCAGTTGGCAAACAAAACAATGCCAGACCAGACCAGACCAGACCAGACCAAACCAATAGTTTGCTTTGCAGGACTCCAGGACTCTCTAGGGTACTGGGCCGATTAGGGAGACTTCCCCTTGTCGCAAAAGAATGGACAGGGTCAGGAGCAGCAGCGGCAGCAGCAGCAGCAGCAGCAGCAGCAGAAGGGCCTGGGATACGGACCCGAATCCGGACAGTGGCAGAGTTTCGGTACGGTATACAATAATGGATCAGCAGCGCTGCTACCGACAGCCGCTAAAGAGGCTCATTTGGTACTATGTACGGTGTGTGTGTGTGTGTGTGTGTGTGTGTGTGTGTGTGTGTGAATATGAGTATATGTGTCCGACATGAGTAGAACAAAATGCCAAGGCTTTTGTTTGTTTTTATTCGACTTCGGCTTTCAACATCAATAATTGTTTTCATTTGTAACGACATGACACGAAACGGTCGTCGAACACGAATACACACTTCAAGATCATTAAAGGTGGAAAATTATTGTATTGATTCACAACACAACAATAGCGGAGACCGAACGGAACGTAGAGTACTTAACAGCTCGGCGGGATAGAGGGATGGGACAGGAGGATCCAATCCAGCAGGACGGACATAGCCATCGCCATCGCCATCACATCACACTGATGAATGCAGCTCAGCTACGTGTAAGTGATGTACGAGAGAATATTGCGACAATGTATTGCTGTGCGCCCGTCATCGTCTTAAAAGCCGATATAGATCCTCATCGCGCTCCTGACTATTCACTTTGATCAGATCAGCTCTCGCTCTCCCCATTCCATTGTGGTCCGTAATTGGCAGCATGTGCCCTGCCCGATTGCAAGTCACCTCCGGAACAATGACCGTACCGTAGAGTGTTTCAATTGAGCAATGTTCATGGACATGGGACATGGGACATGGGACATTTGGAAATTTTCACACCAAATTTGGCATTTTGTCATGCCATTTATAGAGTTATAAGTAGTCCCTATATCCACATACATACATATACATATACATATATATCAGTATACATATTTACATATGTATGTGTAGAAATGTCTCAATTATTGTTATTGTGGCTATTTGTGATTCCCTTTCCCATTATTAGGGACTGAGTCCGTAGAGTTTAGAATATGTTTATGGAACATGGAACGTGGAGCAGAGTCCGCTGCAGTTTCTCATATCGACCTTGAACATATGAACTATAGCTCTGCCAGTGTATTGGCATCTGCATATCGGTGTCTGTATCTCAAAGAGATCTCACTAGAGACATCCCACATATCCCACACATCGCACACATCGCACACATCGCACACATCGTATTAATGTATGTATGAATACGCGATAAGAGTCTACGGGCCAATGTCTGGTTAGCCGGCAGAGCCGTGCTCGGCCTAGCGCCTTCTTCTCCTCCTGCTCCTGTATAGATTTAAATAATTGAGAGGGAAGTGTAATGGGGACTGTGAACTCGAATTGGATGGATGGTACGCGATGGGGGCTACGTGGAAATGGTGTACGGGCATGGAGTTGGAGTTGGAGTTGGAGTTGGAGCCGGAGCCGGAAACATACATTCGTCATCAGTTAAGTGGTAGTAAGTTGTGGTAAAATACGACGATGTCGAGTGGGGCTGCGACACTGTGGCCGCGTCCACGCCTTCCATCGCAGTAGCCATCGTAGTGGCAGATTTTCCACCAATGCCCAGTCCACTGCCACTGGCGGTACCCAAACAGGGCAGATTTCTCATCGCGATCACATTGTCTATAAAAGAAGAGCAGAGCAAACGAAAAATAATCACATCAACAAGTTACTATTAGCCGGGAAGGGTTTAGGTAGATGTTAGTTGCATGGGGGGTGTGGGGTGGGGTGGGGTGGGGTGGGGTTCACATACATAGTACGACATGTAAGACCATAAAGTTAATTAAATAACACATAGGCATCAGGATATGATGATGGCCACTGAACACGAGTTTCTTTTATTCGGACCAGGAAGCTGACTATGATCTACATACACACGTACATGTACATATGTACATATGTACGAATGCAATATAAGAAAACAGTTTCAAATCATCAGAATCGGAATCGGAATCGGGATCGGGATCGGAATCAGAATCAGAGCTCGCAAAATGACAGGAGATAATTAGCAATAATTATGGCTTACCCTTGTGAGCCATCTCCTCGAGAGATGGTAGGCGCTCGATGAGCGTTCCCGCAGACCAGGGGGGCACTACCGTACTTATGGCCGTCGGAGTCGGTTGCAACGTAAACATAATTGTTTCTGGATATGTAGATGTAGATGTAGATGTATGTAAGGTTTATTGGCTCCACTGGATGTGTGAATTAAATCGGACCGTGGCTACGGTGGGACTGCCCTCATGTACATACGCACACATGCATATGTACACATGTACGTACACACAATGCTCACTTTAAAATGCCTACACAGAAACAGAAACAGAAAGCAAAGCCTTCGGGTTCGGGTTCGGGAGCACCGCATTCACCGCTTGGAGCCTTTGACTGCACGCTACGCTCACGCTGGGTCAACACCGCGGGAAACAGACTAAGGCTGAAGAATCTGTGCAGATGTTAACTGTGAATCGATGGGAAGGGATCGGATCGGATCCCTTTTGTTGGCGATGTCACGGGGACTCGAACTGCACAAACACAAATTGAGCTGAGCATCCGCCTTTGTTTTAATTCACTTGTTCATTTCGTATGGGATGGGATGGGCTGGGATGCCTTTGCCGCTTTCAATTTCACAGATTGCCACCAGCACAGCCCGTGTTTCACATTCTCACTTCACACAATGCGCAGGATATTTATTTGTTAATTATTGCAAGTGCTGAACATATGAACATTGTATGTGAATCAGTAGCACTAGCACTAGCAGTTGCAGTACCGATTCCGATTCCGATTTCAAATCCAATACCGACGTTACGTTTAGTTAGCGCTATGACGATTGGCGATTAGGCTCGATTAGGCTCTCATTACCGGTACGATTCACACCGCAGCACAGCACAGCATCTAACGAGCGACCGGACCGACCGCTGCTCTATGGTTGCCTTTGGTGCGCGGGTCACAATAAGAATGAATGCCATGCCACTGCTTGTCTACAGTGTTTCTGCTGTGCTAATGCGTGCTGGCGGAGACAGGCTCTTCTGATTGGCGGAATGTGGCATGCACCACTTGCCACATTCAATGTGGTTGGCTCCATGGCTCGCCATGGCACAACAAGAGCTGTCCCGCTCTGGCAGCCCTAGCGCGAGCATCTGTGTGAGGAGTGAGGAGTGAGGAGTAGAGGAATCGCGGCCGGAGCAAGCACGGGGGTTGAACTGAATGCTGAATGCTGACTGCCGAATGCGAATGCCGAATACTGAATACTGAATACGAATAATACTCACACTGCAGTCGAATAATCGAGCATGTAATGTGCGACTGTGTGCCTGCACTTCCACGACTTTACTTTGAAATGATGAAACAATTTCTGAACTTTAATTCTCGCCTACTCTCGCTACCCATCAGTATACATCAGTATACATCAGTATACATCAGTACTCATCAGAGCAGTAGAGGTGTAGGGATGTGTAACAGCTGCAAAATCGAAACGAAAACTTTAGCCCAAGGCTCCCAATATTCGATCCTTTAACTTTTTATGTTTTATGTTTCGCACTACTTACACTTACTACTTGTATGTACATATGTACTACTATAGGGTCTATAATTGTATTTCGCTCGTATATTTATGTATGTATGTATATTTCTGTCCAGCCCACAAACCACCCCACCTACCCACACACACACACACACATCTGACAAAATTTGAATATTCCGAACAAACAGGAAAGTATGCTGCCAGTGCCAGTGCCAGTGCCAGTGGCTGTGGCAGTGGCAGCGCCCAATCGAATTGTTTCATTCCGATACAATAACCGCTACACTCTTCCGTTAACTACCCGCACGTTTCCGCTACAGCAACATACAGCTACGCTACACACATACAGCCACAGCCACAGCCACAGCAAGCTCCGGCAATAGGGGCGTGGGCGTGGGCGTGGGTGGGCGTGCGGTTGTTTTGCAAAATGCCGACAAGCTGAACATGGTCACACCCACTGCGGCCCAGCCTCATGTGAGGAGGCTGGAATTTAATAATCGTTGGTCGTTGGTCCTGTTTTCGCGTTCGGCCAGTTGCTGCTGGCTAGAAAGGGACGGCCAGATGCGCTCCCTGACTACTGGCCTGACATGATGAAAGTGTACTCATTTCGAAAATATGCGTGGAATGTCTGCGAAGCTCTTCCTTTCCTCGAGAGCACACACAAAATCAGCAAGAAATAATGCCATAACAAGCCCGAATTAGACAAATATGACTCCAAATAGGCCCAGCCAAAACATTCAATATGCACAATATAATACTATTTATTTTGTTTACCCAATAGGTACATGCATGCAAGTACTATTAGTTCCCACAATTTGTATATCAATATCAATATCCTAGGGCTACTCTCTTCGGGGAAACTACTGTTGTATATTTTTAAATTTGGGTACAGTGAGTGTAGGTTTTATACTGACAATCGAAGGCATGGAGGCATGTAACCTGCTACGATTATGGCAATGATTGAACGGCTTGAGAACCGATCGGGTAAAAGTGATTAAAGAGAGCAAGAGTATCCTATCATACTCGTATCAGCTATGCTATTACTGGTCCACTTTTGACTGTTAGTGTAAAGGCCGATCCCGGGCAGATGGCTTTTACAATATTTGGGATTTTAATATGCGCAGATTAGATCAAAAATGTGTGCGGTGCAGGGGTGCAGGGATGGGTGAAAGCTGCGAATGTTCTTATTGTGTTATTGTGTTGCATGGGAGCGCCTGGTAGTAAATCCCCCGGCAGGAAGCTCAGCAATCTGCACATTAAGTTCAGTCTAACTCCAGTGCGGGGCTCCCCGTTCGGCATTCGCCATTCGGGCAATTGCGACGTGCCACGTGCCACGTGCCGGCGACACGGTACATCCTCGTGCACTGAAAAGTTTTCCGCTCTGCCTCAGCCTCAGCCTCAGCCTCAGCGTTTGAGCACCGTTTCTGCTTCTCATTCTATCGGTGAGTATGGGCGTATGGGAGTAGACGCTACAGTCCAGCGGAGTCCAAGTCCGCCTCCCCGCAGCTTGAACCAATACCAATATTAATAAGTGAGATCTCAATACTAATCTCAGCAGATACTCAGCAGATACTGTTCGTACGTAGTGCGTACCGTACAGATGCACAGCCAATGGAGATGGAAGCAAGCGCACGCTCATGCGGCGACGAGCACGGAGCAGCTCTACTCCGTCTTGGCACGGCACATGTAGAGCACTTCCATTCACTTGTGTACATATGTATGTATGTATGTATGTATGTACATATGTATGTATGTACTTATGTATTTATTATTACTTGTCTCAGCTCACAGTACAAACCCTCACACTATTCTCGCCATACATATTTCAGGGATCATCACGATCACTTTCTCACTTTCGCACGCGTTTTCCACTGGCATAGTTTTCGTCACTTTGTACATACATACATACATGCATACATAAAAAAATAAAAATAACATTTAACGAGCCAAACTTTTACCTCGTTGGCCTCTTTCAATCCATTTCGAACTACATATGTAGCCTGGGCCAGAAATCACAGGTAATTGCTCGACTCGATGCCGATTGCAGAATGCAGAAACAATCAGGGGCTGGGTGTGGTGTATATCGATATTAATTTTTAGCTTGTGCTTAATAAGGAAATAAAAATACAAAATACAAAATACATAAAAAATTTGTTCGAGGAAACTGTTTAAAAAGGAGCTTGGTTTTGCTGCCGTTTATTTGCTGTTATTTTCAGTGGTGTGATGAAACTTAAAACTGGCTTAAAGCTTATGTCACTGGTGATCCACTGGCAATGGATCCACTCAATGTTATGTTGAACAGTCAAATGAGGTGTGGGCACACGCTGAAATTGATCATTTTCAAGACATCGTTTTGATCGGCAAAAATTGACAAAATCGATGCATACTTAATGGTAAATGAATATAGGTAATAACATAATTTGCCTAGCCCTGGCCATCCTTATTTTTGGTTGAATATCTTAAATGAGAAAATATGTACATACATTTGTATACATACATATGTATCTCTTGTCTCAGAAATTCTGATTGTATTGTCGGAGGCTTAGAAGGAGCTTTCCTTGACCAATTACTCGTCTGCTGGCATCAATATTTAAAGAGTTTCCTGCTTCGGCATTCGCATATGGACTGCATTGCAGGGGGGATGTGATTGAATGGCCTGGCCTGGCCTGGCCCAGCTCTTGTCACTTTCCGTTTTGTTTTCCGTACGCCTCGACGACGGCTTTCGGCTGTGGCAGCGTGCGCCTTACTGATATCACAAGCAAGACGCCCCATTTTCCACTCCTTTTCTCCTCCGTGTGAAGTCTTGCGTACAGGCGATAAGCGGAACGACGCTATTTTTTTTTTATTTTATTATTTTTTTTTCCATTTCCACTAAGCACAAGAGCAACGCAACTGTTGCCGGCACTCACACACACTGGCACGTCAGAGTTGAGTTAACAATGTCTACGACTTTAACCATATCCGAGATAATACATACATATGTATGTATGTACTTATGACTGTACATATGCACGTGTGAACGGAGTACTTAAAGTATCGGTTTATTGCAGTATTTTCCACTGAATACAGGAATACAGGAATACAGGAACACAGGAACACAGGATCCATATTATTCATTGTTTTAATTTTAAAATGCTGCCAGCGGTATAAAACGCTGACTATTAATTATTCAGTTCGAATTGAATCAAATCCAGCTAAGCTAGGAAAAACGCTTGAACTGCCGCTCGTTGAATCTGTTCTAGCCAAATACTCGAAGTAGCTGCGAGACTCATGGAAACACAAAGCACCTGCTGCACTCCACCGCACTCCTACCGCATCCGTAGATATGTATGTACATATGTGGTGGTAGATATACATATGTACATACATATGTATGTATGTATGCATGCAATAACTTTTGAGAGTGAGTAAAAATAAGTTATTGTAGTATATGTACATACATATATGTATGTACATAGCTGGCAGAAATTGTCCAAATGTCGATTTTCTGTAATATTGAAATTACCCTCTTCTATCCCATTCCCTTTCCCCTCTCGGCTGCGGATCCACATACTTGTTTTCCGTGAGATATAATTTACAGAAAATTTGCTTAATCCATAATAAAACGCTACAATTATCGCACTTGAAAATCCCAGTTAGCACCGTCGCACCATTGGTCCCCCCCACTGGGAATTCAAGTAACGAGCCATTAAACAATTAAAGCAGCGCCAGGCCCGGGCTCAGACCCAGACCCAGACCCAAACCCAGAGCAGGAGCAGGAGCAGGAGCCAGAATCAGCTATGTCCAGCCAAGCATTTGACCATCCAACCAAATACAAACAACGTGAAGCATGCGGGTTCGAAGCAACGGGGGAACGGAACGTGAGTGCGAGTGCGAGTGTGAGTATGTGTATGTGTATGTTCATGTCGGTGTGGGTGTGGTTTGTACATATTTTTGTGTGTGAGCGAGGGAGAGGTGATGTGATGTGATGTGCAGCTTTCAGTCCGCACGCCCATCTCTGGAAGAGGCAACCACTGTGAATATGCTTCAATTATTATGAGCATCCCGCGGCCGCACCTCCCACACGTTGCCAACAGCCTGACGACGACTATCACTTAACGGGAGACCAACACCAACACACCAACACACCAACCCCAGTGTGGCCAACGCACAAAAGAAAAGCCTGGTAGAAGATTGAGAGGGGGTAGATGGGAAGGTCAGGATGCGTAGTGCTGCAGTTTGCCAGTCGAGGACTCATACGTAATTAAAAGGAACCATGCTGCTTTCAAAGGATTGAAAACGGGGCTTATCCGTCCCGCTTAAAGACTCATTTTGATACCATACAGCCAACCACTCGGGCAACATTCCGGCTAACAACTCGTACTACGATTAGTCGCACTCATTTGATAATCTTGTCTCTCATAAACACATACAAATGTGCCTATACATACATATGTACGTACATACTGTGTATGTCCATGCATTTTAATGAATTCATCAATTTTAATTATTATTTGTTGGCTTTGAAAATAACACTTTGCAAAGACTATGTACATATATCCATGTTCATATACATATGTATCTACATATGTAGTATTGGATATTGATCTACAATAGTAGAGGATATAGTAGAGTACATACACACTTGACAGTGCTTGAGTATCTGAGGCCAATCGAGACTATTCTTACAGGCGGATGTAGACGCTGCCAGAACCCTCCCAGAAGAGATGGCTTTTACATATCATATACATATACATACACATACACATACACATACACATACACATACACATACACATACACATACAGGGTCGGGCCACTCAAAGAGCTATAGTAGGGATACGCCGATTAGATTCGGAAG